TTAATTATGGTTTGTGGAAATTATTTCCTTGCAGTGATCATTTTAGGGGGAGTAACTGAGTTTTTTCCCCCCGGAGAAATATGTCTATTAACCTAACGGAGTGTTATTTTTTTACTTTTGTGTTGTAGGATATCATACAATCAATGCCACATGATGCACATCCAATGGGTGTACTTGTTAGTGCCATAAGTGCTCTGTCAGTTTTTCACCCAGATGCAAATCCTGCTCTTAGGGTAAGCAAGACGAGTTACTTTTAAAGTTTTTCAGCTTGTGCACTGTTTTACAATGCTGCACATTTATGATGGTGACATATAGTTTTGTGGATCTTGATTTTTTTTTTTTAGCAATATATACTTCTCTCATAACTAGTAGAATTTTCCCATTCTACTCTTATTTAATGCATATTAAAATTCGATGCAGGGTCTTGATGTATACCAGTCAAAACAAGTAAGAGACAAACAAATAGCACGAATCCTTGGAAAGGTTTGCATATACAGTTTTTTTCCCCTCGTTCCTCCTTACCCTTCTACCTAGGCACGCGTAATTTATTTAGCTGATATTGGTGTGTCTAGAACTGGGTTTACAGCTTGCATTCTGCGGAGTTTTGAGCAGCTACCTTACAAGTTTATGCATTTTCGCAATATACCTAATATATCTATTGATGTTTTCTTTTGATTGCAGATAACAACAATTGCTGCAGCAGCTTATCTTAGATTGGCAGGAAGGCCACCAGTGCTTCCATCCAGCCACCTTTCCTACACGGAGAACTTCCTATACATGCTGGATTCTTTGTATGTCTTGTGTGTTTTTAAAGGTCTTATTGTTAATATGGAATGATATAAAGCTTCAATTTCTATTGATTTAATTTTTTTGTCCGAGTGAGGTAAATCATCATCAGTACTCACTAGTTTTTTTTTTTTGGTCTCTTGCTCTTGCTTGCATGGAATAATTTCTTTTCTGGCACAAAGTATATAGTATTCTTAAGATGATATAATAATACATATACACGTGCACGGTAATTACACCATCTTGGAGCTTTAAACTCAAATAACATTTTCTTTTGCATGTTTTCAGAGGCAATCGCTCATATAAACCGAATCCTAGGCTAACTCGCGCACTAGATATTATCTTCATCTTGCATGCGGAACACGAAATGAACTGCTCTACGTCCGCTGTCCGGCACCTTTCGTCAAGGTTGAGGCTCAAAATTGTTAAACAACATAAATCATTCTACGTTCAGTGTATCCTAACCACCTTATCCTTCGCAGTGGTGTTGATGTATTCACCGCTATTGCTGGTGCTGTTGGAGCACTATATGGGCCTCTTCATGGTGGAGCCAATGAGGTACCTCTAAATGCGTCATGCAAACTATCACTAACTTTTCACTATAGCTTGTTTCTGACCATTTCCCTGCGTAAACACAATACTTTTGGCAAGCATAATAATGTGACCTTTGGTGGTTCTATAGGCTGTCCTGAAGATGCTGAGTGAAATTGGAACGGTTGAGAACATTCCAGAATTCATTGAGGGTGTCAAAGCCAGGTGATTATTACCTTCTTGTATTTGGGGTCTTATTTCCCCCTGTTTATCATTTACTCTGAAATGGTGATGTCATTATGCCTTCCTTTTATGTGGTTTTGCCTCAGACCTTCACTGCTAGCTGTGAAAATGAAAGTTATAATTGATATATCTATCCTGTCATCCTGTGCTTTATCTTTTCTCTAGGAAACGAAAGCTCAGTGGTTTTGGACATCGTGTTTACAAGAACTATGATCCCAGAGCAAGGGTCCTAAGGAGACTGGCAGATGAAGTGTTTTCCATTGTTGGTCGGGACCCTCTTATTGAGGTGTTTATCTATCCCATGGGTTTTCTTTCTTCTAATTGCCTATTTAATATTCCTGAAGCTTTAAACTTTTCTGGCCATGGGTTATGAATACAATAACAGACCACTAGATTTTCAACTTTGCATGCTCTTTAATACAGTTTGGTATTCTTCCAGGAAAATAGAATCACTTTTGTGAAATATTAGGGTTGTTATTGGGGACATAAGCTTTGGGGGGGGGGGTTATTTAAGGCACTTGCTTTTAGACAACGTTGATTTGGTTATGTTTTTCATGTGTTTGCATGAGCATTCATTAGAAGTCATATTTCGTCCAGGGAAAAAAGGAGCCATCCACTTCGGGCAGGGTCTAGAGTCAATTCTAAATCTTGAGCAACTTGTTTCATTATAATAGATTATTGGCTAATGTTTATAATACCACTATATATATAAATATCGCAGTGGGAGAACTTCTGCTTTATTTAATGTGAATTCAATTCAATATATTTGGTTAACTTCTGATTTGTGGGTAAAATTTTTCGGCCGTGCAGATTGCAGTTGCCTTGGAGAAGGTTGCGTTATCTGATGAATTTTTCATTAAGAGGAGGCTATATCCTAACGTTGACTTCTACTCTGGGTAATTTATAGGTAATCTATCATTGAATTCAGTTTTGTAACTAACATGGATAAGATGTGCAATTTTTCCCAGCCTATATAACAGGGTTTGGAATGATGAATTTTTGTAATCAGGGCCATGGGATTTCCGCCTGAGTTTTTCACAGTTTTATTTGCAATCCCTCGAATGGCTGGGTACTTGGCGCATTGGCGAGAGTCCTTGGATGATCCTGATACGAAGATTATGAGACCTCAACAGGTTACTCCCTTTATGCTTACTTTGGTTATGCTTTTCATGCTTAGGGAAATTAGAATTGGCCATATGGTGTTGATCTCCATAGCTTCTGATTTACTGAAAAATGGTTGGGCTTCGTGGGTCATTTTAAGGCTGCAATTCCTACCTAATGCATGTATTAGGCATTTATTGCAAAATACATCTTTCAAATAGAGAAGCAAGATAACAAGTATGAAACAGTCTTTAAAGAAGAAAGCCGCCTAATCCAAACAGCCCGAAGCAGCACACTGAAGGTAATCTACTTTTTTACTATTGGCTTGGGAATCTGAGCAGTTTATGGCTGGTTTTAGGATTGGTGGTGGAATAAGGTGGCGGTATGTTGCAACATGTGATGGATTAAGAATATATGATTACCTGTCTGTATATAACATGTTACGACCATCAATCAATTGAGCACTGAATTATTTTAGCATCATATTAGATTGTTCCGTTCAATCAGAAATCAAATTGGATTCTGTTTCCTGATTTCATCAATCTGTTTTCACTTCAGGCTTACGTTGGGGAATGGTTGCGGCATTATACGCCTGTTAATGAACGATCTGCATCAAGTAATGCTGACGAGCTTGGTCAACTGGCCATATCAAACGCCTCAAGGCGGCGACTTGCTGGATCTGGCTTATAGCCTTAATCTGGATTAATCAGTAAAACTGTGCACTGGATAAATAATAAAAAGCTGGTATCCGAAGCCTGTAAGGAAAGAAAGTGGGATTTAAAGTTCCATATTTGTATCTGCACTCTGCAAGTTCACTTACCAATAAATCTATTTCTTAGTTTTGTCTATATGAATGATTATAGTTTCAAGGTCCTGTGGGTAGTGATAAGGTCATATACTATGATTGCTTATAATCCTTAAATGTTATTTTCTCTGAATAAATAGAGGGGTCACCAAAAACCTAATTTGCTGACTGATGATGCCATACAAGTCGCAACATTAAATTAACTTTTTGGGACCGTGGTTACAACATTGTACGGAACTAATTGGCTGATTCTATGGAGAAAAAACATAGTAGCATGCCTATTTGATGAAAATCAAATTTAATTAGTATAAATCCAGAAACGATTTTTCTTACTTTTTTTTGTGAAAATTATTTATTTTAGTTTTTATTTGATAATTTAGTTCAATATAATTATTTTGATTCGATATCTCCGAAGATAATTATTTCCCATATTGCCTAAATAAAAGAAAATAATTCGTTTTCTAGAAAATGAAAAGGAAACTAATTTTCACTTTTCAAGCTTCCCATGAGTCAAACGGGTCCCTCATCGACATTTAATTTGGGAAAAAAAAATTAGGTTTTAGACTTTTGATAATGCATTAAGTCTTCGAAATTACTTTAAAACACTTCGTTTTGGATTGTTAAATTTATTTAAAAGTCAGTTCTTATTTGCCCTTGGCATTTATAACTGATTTCAAGTTATCACTTTGTCATCTACATAGTTTTTTTAAAAAAAGGCATAAAAAATTGTGTTTTTTTTTTGTTAAATGAAATGGAACCACAAAAGCAAAGTGAAAAAGATGAAGACAAGAAAATAAAAGAACTATTATATTTTTTTCACTTACCTCACAATACAAATAACATGTCTTATTTGTAGGTATTGTCTTACATATAGGTTACACTTGTTCTTAAATGATAAATAGTAAATAATCGTGAGTTACAAGATTAAATGGATATAAGGGGGATAATAGAATAGTGGAAGTGCAATACACAGTAGAACTTACTTGATAAAGTTAAAAAGAAAGGGTTAAATAAACATGCAGGTATAATATTGATGACACTTTTGTGGCTTACGAGAAATGAACATGGCTTGTTTGTCGCTTCTTTATGCATTCTCTAGAAGTAAATTTGAGTTCGCATCCGCTGGGGAAAAAAATTAAGTTTATATTCTTTTTTTCTTTGATAAAGTGGAAGCAAGCAATTTCAATTTTATTCTTCTCGTTATTAAAACAGAAAGTACTTTAATCATGTAATAGCTTTAAAATATTTCCGTTTCCATTTATAATATTTCCTTTACAAATATGATAATACCAAAAGTGTTATCCATTTTCATTTGTAATATTTCCATCTTCTGTTACTTTAGAGTGGTGGCACCTACTTGGTATAAAGACATCACAAAATAATAATGGACGTAAGCTACACTTAATGAACAAGACATTTTACTCCATTGATGAACATACATATGCATTGTCACACCCAAGAAAACTTATGATGCCAGTTTTATGTGTAAATTTGCACCTTCATCTCAACTACTACGTAAATTTGCACCTTTATTTCAACTACTACTATTACCACTACTACCACTATCACCACCACTACCACCACTACCACTACCACTACCACTACCACCACTACTTCTACCATCACCACCACCACTACTACTACTGCTCCTACCACCACTACTGCTGCTCCTGCTCTTGCTCCTACTACTCCTACTACTCCTACTATTACCACTACCACCACCACCACCACCACTACTACCACCAACTACCACCACTATTACAACTACTATTACTACTATCACCACTACTACAACAACTACTACTACTACTACCACTACTACGACTACTACTACCACCACTACGACTACTATTACTACGACTACTACTACTACCACCACTACGACTACTACTGCCGCCGCCGCCGCCACCGCCGCCGCTGCTAAATAAATAAATTAATAATTAATTAAACTAGCAACTCTCTCACAACATTAGGAATTGAAATATATCCTAATGATACAAAAGGTGCATTCTCACTGTAGCATCCAAGTACTAGAAACAAACTGACATTAAAGCTTTAGGTCCATTCAAATGGTTTATTAAAGAAGCTAATAGTCATCACAATCATAGTCCTAATCACAACCATGATCATCATCATAGCCATAGTAGTCACCATAACATCATCATAATAATCATTACCATAACAATCGATCATCATCACCGTCACCTACCTTACTCATCCCTGTCATGTCCTCCCTCTTCAATCTGAGTTTGTTCTTCTTCTTCTTCCTCCACTTCCTCTACCTCGTCAGCAAGAACTCCTCCTCCCACTTTCTCTACAGCATCAGTTTCTTCATCCTCCTCCTCTACCTCTTCAACAGAAACTTCTGTCACTTTCTCTACAACCTCTCCTTCAACATCAGATTCTCCATCCACCACCACCTCCTTCTCCTCCTCCTCGTCGTCGTCGTCTTCTTCACTGTAAAAGAATTTACAATACTTGAAGCCAAAATCCAGTAGAGCGTATAAGCTTCAATATGAAATCTTAGCTTAGAACACGTTGATCAACAAAACAAGAAAACAGTTGCATAATAAATTTCTCAGTTTGATGAATTCTAAACAGAATTGTTCTTCACTACTGCAAGATATTTTACCTAAGGACTAAAGTGTAAAATACGTGAAGTCAAAATCAAGTAGGGCATGCAAACTTCATGATGATCCACGTATTCCTTCAAACCAAATGCATCTTGACACTGTAAAAGGTGCGCATTTAGAATGGCACTTACCTGAATAAACCTTGAATAGTGAAGCTTTATATTTTCTTAGCTTGGAGTAATATTGATGAAATCCAAGAGAGAAGCAAAGTGAACTTTAAGAACATTCCTTACAATTTCTAACAAAGAAAACGTCATACCCTCTATTTCTCTAAATAAATACTCCTATAATCTAATAATGTCTTCCCCCCCAGTTTTCTGACACAGGTGTATTCCAAAAGCTGCAGGCTTTTACTTCTTTCATATCTACAAAATCTTGAGGTCTCACATTAAACATCCAATTACATATTTATTTCTTACTACCTCTGGTTTTATTTCTTACTAGATGCTCAAAAAAAAATACGTCAAGATACTGATGTATAAAAAAATATTTTAGAATACTAAATGTGTCTGGAAAAATATTTTAGCATTGTAGATGAACCTTCATCCTAATTTGACTTCCTTCCGATTGCCAAAAAGGGGGAAAATCCCCTCGAGTGAGTATAAATACCAATTAACTGCTTTGTAAACTATTGCATGCTAAAAAAGTAATTAGATTTAAGGTGTAAAGTAGCAAATAACCTACTTGCCTCCCGAGCTTCATATCCATACTCCTCCAGAACCACTCGCTCCATTTGCTCTCGAGTTTTAACCTCCTCCTCTTCATACTGCAAGAATGAATATATTAGTTAATTTTTACAAAAAGATTTCTTAACTCTGTCTTGATTCTACGAGGGATTTAAGGGGAAAAAATTAATAATTTACCTTATACGCTTGCTTCCATTCGAATGGAACTCTGTGTTTTCTCGTTGTGGTGTTGCCAAAACGCTTCTCATAAAATATGTCTTCCACAGCTTAGCCGTTACCGGACTCAAATCCGATCCATTCCCTGCGAAACCTTAATTATCAAAATAAACAAAACAATTTAATCTTCTCCCACTTTGCAATCATAATAACTAGCTAGACTTGTCGTATTTATTATTTAACTAACAAGTCCATCCCCTTCCTCATACTTTGACTGGTCCACAAAGCATAACTAAGACTGTCTACACTTGATCGATTCAATGGGATTTCAAAGCCAAATCCATTATACTATATTAAATTTAAAACTGAGCATCCGTACAAAAATATAAATAAATAATTATATAAGAAAATCGCCGAGAGAATGAATGTATTGTTGGAGTTTTAATGTGTGAACGTGTGAAAAGAAATCCCATATTACTCACTCAAGATTGAAAAAACCTTAGTGTTTATTATGTGAATTTGAGCTAATAAAATAACTAAAAAGAAGACTCTTTAGAACTGGCTGTTAGCAATGATTGTTGAAACATTTATATGTTTTAATTAGTTAGCTTTACTCTTTTATAAACCAGATCTAATGGCTTTAAAGTATTTTAATTCACCTTAATCAATGGTTTAAAAACCATTCTTTTAACTGTCATTAAAATCGTTTTTAATTACTATTATGACAATCCAACATCACATCATCTGCCTATAAAAGACAATGCATGGTGCATGTCATAGAATGTTGAGTTTTATCCCTGACTTCTTCTAAAGGGGTGTTTGGCAACTTTCAAACCATAGTTTCATAAGCACTTTTTTGCAAAACGAGACAAATTCCTCCACATATTTACTTCATAAACTATAAAAGCACTTCTGAAATTATAGTTTGGTTTCTATCCAAACACCCCCTAATTTCAAATTTTTGTTATTTTGTTGCACTGCTCTGTGCAGGAAGAGATTGTTTAATTCTAAAGAGCGCAGCATTTTATTCTTACCTTTTGTATTAAAATAACTCTTAAAGATAGTATTCTTAAATAACGACTCGAACTATATTTTATTATTTTTGCAGGTGTTTGCATGTACTTCCACCTTCTGAGCCGTATAATGACCGGAAGGAAGGCGAAGATTCATACTTACAGAGTGGAATTTCTCAGAATCTCTGATAAGGAACGATCAGAGCATTGAGTAAGCCAACGAAAGAAGAATGCATCATATATAGTGGTTAGTTCTAGTCGAGAAACGGAATAAACAAAACGCTTTTCCGAGAAAGCGGGCATTTTGATTTAATTTTTATATCAATTTCTTTTTTACCAGAAAATTTTTTTATATCAATTGAAACCATGCTCTTTTATATTCATTATATAAAATTTATTTAAAAAACTCGTCGCGTCCCTCATACGTTAGGGTGACCGATTTCTCTCTGCGAGTGTGAGAGCCTTTTACCACCGCCAGTGTCGCCAGTATTTTTCCGACGCCATTTCCGAGTTACCTTCTTATTGTTGTTCATGTGAGTGTCGCTATAGCCCACTGCGATAGCGTTAAAAAAGAGTGAGAGTGAGTTGGAGAGATTGTGAGGACAGAGAAGGAGAGGTGTTCTCTGGTTTATAGTGACGGAGCGGAGGAAGGGGTTTGGAAACCTCTCAGGGTTCCACGTAATTGGATTTGAACAAGGGGACAGTGGCGACGTTGAAGGATGGAAAACTAGTACGTAATTTTTTGCGAGCAAGAGTTCTTGTTAACAAGTTTCTGGGTGCCGCCGCCGAAAAAAGATGATGATTGGACGGAAGTGTATGAAAGATTTCCCAGCTTTTTTTGTGCTTGGCTCAAAGCCCCTCCACCAAGGTTCATGGAGGAATTACTGGTTCATGCGGATATCCGATGGGTTGAAACTAGAGTCGGAATGGAGAAGACGGCGCGTGTTTTGCCTCCTGTTCGAGGACGCGTAACTGACAGGTTTGGTTGTGATCGTGGAGGTGCTGAGCACCGTGGTGGGACTAACGGCAGTGGTCGTGGAATGAGTAGACGCGGGAAGAAGGAATACCACGTGGCAAGGACTTTTCGGTGACTAAAATACCCTCAAGGGCTGTAGATTTGGGCAGTCAAGCAGCAGCCTAAAAATCACTCGCAATTGGGTCTCCAATGAAAGTGTTCTGCCGCTTGAGCCCACATAGACAGGGAAAAGGGATTTGGTAAGGTGGCTCGGTCATTTACAGTTTGTAATTTCTGCTTAGCTTTTCATGACCATTTTCTCTTCATACTTCCTTTCCTTGATCTTTGACAAGATTTGAAAGATGCGATCCTCTCAAATTTGTGACAACTAAAGAACGCTCTACAAGGTAGATGGAATTCAGAGCTTAAGAAATGGTGGATAAACTATTTGCGTCGAAAATTGTGGCATTTGTTTTGTTGATTGACTTTATTTGTAAATTATGGATATTTAATCGTGACTTGGTTTATCAATGATATACAAAAGCTAACACCTTTACCCTAAAAGACCGAAGGTACCTACTAATATAAAATCGTCAACAGCAAAACACATGAAATTTACTTGAGTATATGAAAATAATTTTGTCTCGATTTGCATAAAAATATTTTTTTTTAAGTACCTTATAGGGTTTTCAAACACTCCCTGAATCTCCAAAAGTAAATTCAAACTTGGAGAAAGAATGTCATTGCTTGAGATTTCCTCTACTATTTATATAACATGACGTCTTAACCAAGGAACAAAAAACTGAACCGGTGACTAAACCGGTCGAGACAGTGAGTTAAGGGTCACCGGTCGAACCGGGAGTCGGACCGGTCATATAAAAATAATACAATTTAATTGGCATCATTAAAATAGAACAATCCTAATACCTACTCGAATATTCTAGTTTCATATTTCATTCACATGGACGTTTATTCATTGGTCTAGATTTAAAAAATTGAAAAAAACAAATACACAAATTTCAATTTGTGAAACCCATCTCAATGAAATCCCTCAAGCCTCAAATAAGCTCTTCTTAGCTTTGTGTCAATGGCTACCCAGCTAATTGCAACCCACAGAGACAACGCTGAGATTTACCATGGAGAAGATCTCTGCAAGCACAAGTCGCGCGAGCTGCTAGATGAGATTTGCTTGCCCAAAGTATTGCTCCCCTTGGACAACATCATCAAGGCGGGTCACAATCGCTCCACTGGCTTCGTCTAGCTCAAGCAAAAGCAGAGGAAGGAGCACAAGTTCGAGGCCATTCAACACCATTTCGTTTGAGTGTAAGGTCACCGCCTTTGTTGAGAAGCACTGATGATAAAGGTGAATCAGGTGAAGAGCAAGAAGCTGTTCTTTTAGGTCACTATCTCCAATATCTTCATCGACGATCCTAATTCCGCTAAGATCACCTTCACTAACCCCCGCAGCATCTCCAGATCCTTTCGGACAGTGAAGAAAACAGCAGCTACAGTGAGGGTTGATTTCAGCTACGAATTTTCCATTTGGAAGGAGGGACGAAAATGGCAAAGCTGAAGGTTTGGTTAGTGATTGACTAATTTGAGAATTTTTGAAGCAAAGTGTTCCTACCTTGCTGGAGTTTTTTTTTTTTTTTTTCAATTTTCAACCTGAAACAACGTCGTTTCATCAGTTGAAGGGCCAAAAAAAAAAAAATTCAAACTAGGCAACCCATTTGCCTAATTGGTTACTCGGTTTTGACCGGTTGAACCAGTTTTAAAACAGTTTGACTAGGGACGGTTTTTTCATCAAACCAGACTGAACCAGCAATCGATTCACCAGTTTTCCGGTTGAACCGGCCAGTTCGGTCCGGTTTTTTTTTTCCTTGGTCTTAACATACTTTGTGCTGGTGTTCATTACTGTCAAGAAATGAATATAATACCCAAGTTTCTTGCGCAGAATGTCAATAGGTACATTCTTCTTCCTAGTTACTCACCAGATAGAATACAACAAACCCAAAGGAAAAATGAAAATAAAACATCTTACTACATAAGACCAGATTCATAAGCAAAAATCAGAGGACCGAAGTTTCTGCTAAAAAGCCTTTTGGTTAGAGAAAGGTTTGATTGATCTCAGACAACTTCATATACAATGTAACACTTGTCCATTCAACCTTCATAAGATTACACGTAGTCTAATAGATCCTGCTGGTCCTCCAAATCCCAAATCACCACTCTTCCATCCAAACCTACAGTATCAAGGGGTTCATTAGAAGAAAGGGCAATGCCAAACAGGCAAGGATATAACTGTTCAAAAATCACCTAAAAGTAATTGTTAGTTTTCACTGACCTGATGTGCTGAAACGCCTGACCAATGTTCCACGCTCTCCAAGAGGCATGATACAACTACAATCCAAAAAAGACATTGGTGATACACTAAACTTACGATAGTTTTAAAAATGGTTTTGGTTGTTCAAATTCTGCCCAGCCCAATAATTGGACAACCGGAATGCAAACGACCACATTTACGCTATGTTTGGTACGGGATTTTTGGAGGGGAGGGGAGGGGAGGTGCTCCCCTCCCCTCAACTCCCCTCCCCTTGTTTGGCTGGTGTAATTTTTTAGGAGGGGAGGGAAGCCCCTCCCCTTCCCTCGTTTGGTTAAGATGTTTTTTAAAGAGGGGAGGGATTCTTCTTCCCTCCTCTTCCCTTCTAGCCTCCCCTCCAAAAGTGGGGTTTTTTGGAGGGGAGATGAGAGATAATATTTTAATTCCTTATATACCCTTTTGATTTGTTAACCTCTAATTAGTCGTAAACATTTCTACATAAAAGAGTTTTTTTGAGCATCTAATAAGAGGTTATTAAGATAATTGTCTCCAAAATTAGTGAGCATTTGTAAACTTTTTTTTTCTCTTTTTCTAATTCCAAGAGATTGTTGGTATTTTCTTTCACCTTCAAGGTCTTTTCTCTGATTGAAATCTATCACTCGTGACTTTTTATCTTGATATTTTATAAGTGTGTGACTATGTCTTGTAAATCAAAATTGGTGAATTGTATTATATATATAGTTATATCTTAACAAAATAAAAAAAGTGAGAAAATTCATTTAAATTTTATGAGGTTAAAATAGTCAATTTTTTATTAGAACAAAATAAGGTATTATTAAAATTGCTCCCTCCCCTCCCCTCCAATCAATCCAAACAGGAGATCATTAAAATCCCTCCCCTCCCTTCCTCCTCCCTCCCCTCCCCTCCCCTTTGTAGCTACCCTCCTCTTTCCTCCCCTCCCCTTCCTTTGATTAAAATCCCTCCCCTCCCCTTCCCTCCATCGAGCCAAACAGTTGAAGAAGAAAAGCAACTCAGAAAGAACATTTATAATATCATCAATCATATTTGGGAGGATGAAGAAGTCATGATGAAGATGAGAAAAATACTTTATACAGTTCTCATGAACGCCTCCACGTATTTTTGAACTCTCAACTGAGTCGTTGTTCATTCCATGCTTGGATTGGCCATAAAATTTCCCAAATGCTTCAGAGAACTAACAGAAAGACAGGATCAAATAGAAGTGGGGAAACCCAAAACTAGGGTTAGTAAAAATAAGAAATACGCCATGCTTAACTGATATAGTTATATCTAATGACCTTCTATTATGATATCTGAGCTAGATATGGCTTTCACTAGCCGGCTTAGGCATATAACAAACAAACGTAATTTACCTGCGATCCATATTTTGATCCAGATGATATTGCTTTGCTTTCTCCAAGATATCTTACGAAACTCCTAAAGGACAAAAAATAGGAAAAACAGAACAAGAATAAAGTGAGGCATAAAAAACAGTCAACTTCTCTTTTACATGAAGTCAAAGCCCAGGATACAATCCTAGAATATAAAAGATCCAAATATAGGATATGCTCAAACTCATTGAGTAGTTCATTTTTCAAAATAAAGTGTTAATCCTAGAAATCACCAAAAACAAAATTGCATACCATATTCCTCTATCGTCAGCAGCAAAGATCATTGGAGTACAATCAAAGCCCACGCCAATTACCATTCTTTCAGAAACAAATAATACCTAAAAACACGTCATACAATGACCACCAATTCCAGAAACCATCAGTGAATAAGTTCAAGAAAATCATCAGATACTAAAAAAGGTTAGAAAGAGTGGATGCTGACCCACATCACGGAGTGGCAAATCACGGAAGGCAACATTTTGGGCCAAAGGAGAAGGGCCAACATCATCAACAAAATATATCATAGAATTATGACCTGCGTAATGAATAAAGCAGATAAGCTAGAATGAAAAACCCAGAGAAGACCTTATAAAATGAAACAAATGCACAAGCTAGTGCACACACATAAAGTGAACCCTTCAGTAGTGCACTGAACCAATGGGATGAAGTTTGTTTGACAAACGCTGCATGTTGGGACCCAAGTCTGAAAATATCAACTGCCCAATTGACTTAATACAAAACGGTACCCATGAATTGTTCTTTAAGTTCAAAACTCACATAAAAGAAATATTTATCCCAACTTTTTTAGAGAAAAGGAAATATGACGAAGTACATGGATAATATTTTTGT